TGATTTTGGCCAATAATGTTCGCTTTCTAAGCATTGATCTTGATGTCATCAAATAGGCTTAAAACAATGAAGACACAGGGGTTGGGTATGCTTTAAGGGTAAAAGACACAACTACCCAAGGAAGCCAGTTTAATAAGAAACACCTAAAGGTCCTTGTTTACAAAGGGGTCATGGAGGAAGCCTTTCCTCCTAGGTTAGTGAGAGCTGTGAGGAATGGCTGTTGCTCTGAGGCCAGGTGGCTGTTGGCCAAGAGTAGGAATGTGGCTCCTCTCCACAGCTGGGCTCATTCTGCCCCAAGTGGCAGTGGCCACAGCATGGGACACCCTCCAATGGCCATCACCTTTGCAGCTGAGCCCTGCCACAGCTCTTGCCTAGCTGCCCTCAGGCCTTCTCCAGGAAGATTCTCCAGTTGGGAATGAGACCCAGAAGCTTCGGAACCTTTTCAAACACACTCTGAGCACAAATCAGGAAGGCAGGGATGGGGGCGGCAGGAACACAGACGTGGAAGCTATTTTTGAATGACTGGAAATAAAAGCTAAACACAGGTATATTCTGCACGAGTGGAAATGTTCCCAAATTCACAAGAATTCTTTATAAATAAACTAGAAAACAAACCATTCAGGTTGCCACATTTCCTCCTGGTTTCCAGGGACACACAGAAATAGTTTGGGTCTTTGCACATTATTTCAGGAACTGCAGAGGGCTTATAAACACCCACTAAAGGTATCTGACTCATTTTCTAGAAAGCCACGTGAAATGACAACCTAGGGCTAAAAATGAGGGCAAAACCTGTTCTGTGACTCCTGCCACAGCACAGAAAAGCAGGGCAAAGGGAAACCACCTTCACTGATACCAGAGTAAACATCAGAGGAATTTGAGGTCTATCAAGAACTTCTATAGCAAACACTGAGTTTAGAGAACAGTAATTCAGGTCTTTCACCTCAACTCCTGCAACCAATAAATATGCATATCAGAATGCATATTAAACAGATCATGGTGAAACCATTCATTTTATAATAGCAATAGTGTACAATCATCTCAATGAGCTTCTGGGCGATTCCTAACTTAAAGGAAGAGTAACAATTTTCTATAATGTCAGCAGGGTTTTACAGGCTTCAACTCCATTCTTCCCACTTTCAGCAGGCAAAATATTTATGGCATGTTTTCTTTCCAAATTCTTACTAAAATCTCCTCCACTGTGAATACTTAACTATTTTAGGTGGATTTTTCACGATTTTAACCTACTTAACGTCATGGCATTCCAGCCTTGGCAGCAAACTGGGCTCAGACACAAGAGCCCTTCCATTCCCACTTCCAAGGCCCAAGAAAGAGTAGCCAGGGTTGACGTGACAATTTCTAGGATCATGGGTGCCACAGAGAGACCCCTCCTTACCAGAATAGTAAATCCTTGCAGCAGCCGTATGAGGTCAGCTTTATGGCCCTTGCACCATATACATACATACATATATATACATATATATGTGTGTGTGTGTGTGTGTGTGTGTGTGTATATGTATTTGTATTTTGGGTTCTGGGGTACATGTGCAGATCATGCAGGATTGTTGCATAGGTACATACATGGCAATGTGGTTTGCTGCCTCCATCCCCATCACCCATATCTGGCATTTCTCCCCATGTTATCCTTCTCCAATCTCCCTGCCCCCTGCTGTCCCTCCCCTATTCCCCACCAACAGACCCCAGTGTGTCATGCTCCCCTCCCTGCGTCCATGTGTTCTCATTGTTCAACAGCCACCTATGAGTGAGAACATGCGGTGTTAGATTTTCTGTTCTTGTGTCAGTTTGCTGAGAATGATGGTTTCCAGATTCATCTATGTCCCTATAAAGGACACAAACTCATTGTTTCTTATGGCTACGTAGTATTCCATGGTGTATATGTGCCACATTTTCATTGTCTGGTCTATTATCAATGGGCATTTGGGTTGGTTCCAGGTCTTTGCTATTGTAAACAGTGCCAAAATGAACATACATGTGCATGTGTCTTTGTAATAGAATGATTGATAATCCTCTGGATATATACCCAGTAATGGGATTGCTGGGTCAAATAGAATTTCTATTTCTAGGTCCTTGAGGAATTGCCACACTGTCTTCCACAATGGTTGAACTAATTTACACTCCCACCAACAGTGTAAAAGTGTTCCTATCTCTCCACATCCTCTCCAGCATCTGTTGTCTCCAGATTATTTAATGATGGCCATTCTAATTGGTGTGAGATGTTATCTCAAAGTAGTTTTGATTTGCATTTCTCTAATGACCAGTGATGATGAGCATTTTTTCATATGCTTGTTGGCCTCATATATGTCTTCTTTTGAAAAGTGTCTGTTCATGCCCTTTGCCCTCTTTTGAATGGGTTTGTTTTTTTCTTGTAAATCTGTTTTAGTTCTTTGTAGATTCTGGATATTAGCCCTTTGTCATATGGCCCTTGCCTTATGGCTGAGGAAACTCAGGCTCAGGGGGTAAGCAACATGCCCAAAGACACACAACCAGGAACAGTGGAGCTGGGATTCAAACCCTGGTTCTGGGAGCTGGTAGCCTACATAACACTTGTCCACTGAACACACTGCTTCCAGCAAACTGGAATGCTAGGTTAAGGCTGGCAGGCATTTCATGGAAATAAAGTAAAAATGCACACAAGCACGGGATAGCAAGAGATTTCCCAGCAGGTTGTATAAAAAAAAATAAAAGCAACCAAAACCCAGCAGAGACTCAACAAGAAAAGAAAACTTCCGGCCAATATCCATGATGAACATAGATGCAAAAATCTTCAATAAAATACTGGCAAGCCGACTGCAACAGCACATCGAAAACCTTATCCACCATGACAAAAAAAGGGGCTGAGGTGCTAGGGATGAAGTGCGTAGGGGACACTGGAGCGGGGGGTGGGGGGATGACACATCCTTCCACCCTTCACTACCCCAGGGCTCTCCTCCAGACTGGGTGCTGTGGTGGGTGCTAGAGAAAGGAGGATGGAGGAAGCCTGGTCCTGTTTACCTGGCCTGGGCAAGTGCAGAACAACTCAAGCCTCTGCTCAGCTCTGCAGGGCAGGAAGTGGCAGGGATGGAGAAAGGCTTGGGGGTGGGGGCAGGGTGGGACCAATAGATATTCCCTTTCTGACTAAGGTCTTCAGAAAAATCACATCATTTTTATCAGACTGGATCTCAGGCTGGGAGGTTAGGAACAAAATCATCAAGATGAATTTGTTCTCATTATGACATGTATTCAAATGGAAGGACTGGAGTAATATGTCAAAATAGAAATAGATGTGTTTGTTTTCTCAAACCTCATTAAATATTATTGACATACTGGGTTTTCAACTAAAAAGAAGCTCCTTCTCTTCCAAAGACAAAACAAAAACAGGCTAGTGAGTCCCCCCCACTGCAAAGAATAGCAGTCGTTTAATTTTCTGGTTGCTTTATCATCAAGGAAGAGAAAAGCGCTCTAGCCCTTTCCCAGTATTTCTAAAACCAAATATCTATGCCAATTATTATACCATTCATATTGTGCTTCACACTCATTTAACAACTTCCTTATTCCACTTCTTTGGTTACAGGTCTGATTAAAAATAGGAAATGCACTGTGTATCAGAAAGCAATCTGAAAGAGACAGAAAAGAACCTCTTCTGCCTCATTTGCAGAAAAGAACAAGGGAAGCATACTTCCCCTCATTTTCTCCTGCCACGTTCAACACCTACAGAGCCATACAGGGGAGAATAATTTACAGGTAAAAAGATAGACAAGTTCTTGGGTGATCCACAAAACCGGGAATGATTTGCTATTTCAGAAAACACTATATACTCCATACCACTGTCATATGGAGTTCGTAAGAGGACCAGCTTTCTCCCTAAAACTCCTGACCTTTGGCAAGCTACTTAACTTCCAGGGTCATTAGTACCCTGGCATCTTTGGATTAGACTGTTAAAACACACAATCTCTAAAGCCATGTCTTAGAGATAACCTCTTGATAACGAAGGCAAATTTTTCTGATCACCTTATGGGCAAGCCTGGGGGCAGGGGTAGGGCCAGGTGACACCATAGTCCCCTCCCTCTCAGTAATGGCTAGAGTCTAGCAGGACCCTAGGCCTACCCCACCTCTATGCACCTGCAATCTCTCCCCACTCCCTGCATCCTCCACCCTGTCAAGGCTTCCCAGCCCTGAGAGAGCCCAGGCAGCCACAATGATCTCCCAAGTCATACTTGCGCTAAGGGAACTGTGCTAAGTTCCCTGTCACTCCCCCAAATACAAGAATAAAACCACCATACACACCTTCAAGACTGTTCAGCTTCTCATGGTATTCGACCATCACAAAAATGCTGTTCTTCAAAGAAAAGGTCATATATTGTAGGTATTGCTTAAATAGTGTATCTTTCAACCACCTACTTGGTGAGTACCATTGTGTGAAAGCACACACAGTACACGGCCAAGGCCCTTGTTCAACTGCATCACTTCACACAGATTTTATAGCTCTCCATTTGTTTACAGGGCTCTGGCTCTAATGATAATAAACTCATTCAACCTTCTTAATCCAAACGAGACAGGCAAAATTCTCTCAGGCACTCTACCTGTCTTTGATTTGAACAGCAAATATTCTTTAAGCATTTTCTGCCTGTGAGGCATGACCAGCCTTTTTAAAACTCCTCCACAGATACCTCAGGACACAAAACTCTGCAGCCTGGCTGCTGTGGAGGGCAGGATCTCCAGCCAAGCAGGCTGCCTTTTGGGTTATTCCTTTGGGAACAGACTTTTCTGAAGGACCATGCAAATCTCCAGCTGGCCATAAGGCAAACAAATCTACTCTAGTCCCAAGGAATGCATTCATCTGGATGCTGGGCTTACCTTGATCAAAAGGAAAGATGCAAGATTCTTCCTCACAAGTTCAGGACGAGAAAACCAAGTTTTTAAGCACTGAAGCAAAAGTTTGTACTATCCAGTCAATACCCCAAAGCAGTTCATGGTTCAGAAGGTAGGAGACAACCTTTGTTTACCTTATTGATGAGAGTGACTATATCTCCTTCTTTGATTGTCAGTTCATCATCATTCTGTGCCTCATATGGAAATATTACTTTGCAGTAATCCTTGCCTATAAGAAAAACAGAAAACACAACCTTTAAAATGCTTTATCTAATGACCTGGCCCAGGAGAAAATATTCTCTATCACATTAAGTTCAGGGAAAGGCACACTTAACAGGTGGGATATTACTGCTGCATAAAGAAAGGGTGACTCTCAGGAAATGACCCAAGATTGCTCATTTTTAGCTCATGTATATTTATTGGCTTCCACTTTTTTACCCTTACAAATCATGTGACATCATGAGATGTCACTGACTGCTTTGCTTTTCTCTGGCAGAAAAGCAAAAAGGTTTCCTTAGTCAGGAAAACAGACATATACCATTTTATATACTCTCAAATGCATGCATAAATACCTATAGTCTACAGAGGAAGAAAAACTTAAGTTTTGCCTCACTGCCTTTTTCCATACATTACTAAATTAGAAACAAGGAATTTTTATATGTTACAAAGCTACCAGGGTACATAAAACAATGAAAAATTACCCCATTGTGGTATGCCTTAAGAGACAAATGTCAATGTATTTCTATGTGAGCATCCACCAACCATAAACAGCCAACAAGTATTGACTGAACATTCTTTACACATGTATGTGTGGGGGAGAGCTTGTTCAAATGTGTCCCATGGCTTTTCTGTGGGAACCTGTCTATGCATAGATGGCTGTTCCTCAACAAAGAGATGCAACAGCCCTCACCAAAGAGGGAAAAATACTAAGGCCACTATAAATCAATTTAAGTATGTCCTGAATTACATGGCTTTGAAAGTCTATCTGTTGTTAAATCATCTCTATTTATCCAAAAGCATAAGTTACGAAGACAGTGAAAACATTTATAAAGTATTTCAGAAGTGGAGACTTGGGAAACTAGGCTTTGATGACTCAGGACAGAAGGCGGAAAGAAAAATTCAAGAGAATTAGTATCTACTGGGACAGGCATCGATTATTCTGCATCAAAGTCAACAAACCTAATGGCTTTGAATGGCCTTAGATATTTCCCAAATTAGGCCAGTTCCTGCAGATGGATCATAACCTAGAGCTATGTCTTAGAGGTACCTCTTGATGACAATTATATTGTCCTTAGTGTAATTTATATTATTGAAATGTGTTTCTTTATTTTGGTTAACATCCCAACAACCAGAGATTGTGACACATGAAATAAAGCAATTAAGAAATCCATAATACAGATACACTTTGGTCTAGGTTGGGATAGGACAGAGAACGGAGGGAGGAAGGGGAAAAAGTAAAGGGAGGAGAGGTGGTATTCACTTTGCTTTTGTGCAGATGTTTTCAGATTCTGTACAATGGGTTGAAGATATTAGTTACATCCTCTATCCTAGTGTTGGAAACCTTCCATTTTGGGTATTCTGGGCCTCTGATGGCTTTTGCCTCTTAACCTGTGCTGAGCAGCAATAGTTCTAAATCCCGTCAATACCATATTCCTAAACCCACATAGATACCAGTGTGCTATCTCTCTTTACTTAGTAATAGTAAACCTCCCCAAATCTGAATTGGTCAAATGTTCTAAAGAGAGGGAAAAAGTTAAAACATTTCTAAATTGGATAATGACAGCTCCTTGCCAATTTTCCTACTGACTGTGCTAGTGAAATATGGCTGCCAACCTCAAAACTTATTATACCACAAACACAGTATCAGTGAAGAACTACACTGCAGAGTCCTGGCTTTAAGAAAAATTCTTTGTATGGAAATCATGGAAGCATTTTACTAAGAATACAGATACCCACAGTCAACAAAGAAAGAACAGGTCATGTGTCTGTTCTCTTCAGTTAAAAAAGTTAACTAAGTATAACAGAGACTGTTGGTTAATGTCCCAGCAGACATTCCCCACCCTTTTCCTAGTTCACACAATCCTAATTTGTTCAGGCATGACATTCAGGAACACAGAACCCTCTCACAGCCCTGGAGATAAAAGTAGAATATGTCCAGGCAAATAATGTTAATCTCACTCCCTTTTGTTGGTGATTGGTTTAGGGATGGGCATGTGATCTATTTTGGATATGCTTGTGTTCTATTTCCTGCCAATGAGATGTGACAGGAAATCTGCTGGGGGTGAGAGAGGCTGTTAGATTTTGTCCCTGGGGTGGGTGTGTGTAGAGAGAGACACGGAGAGACAGAGACAGACTTGGGGAACACAGTAGCCCATTTAACAGTTTTATCTTTGTTGGACGTCAGTACAGTGTTTCGTGCTACTGAGATCATACTGAGATCACATTTCAAATGCAAGAGGAACGCTGAGAAAATCAGTGATAATTTGATGAGTTTTAATAAATTTATACAGTTGTGTAACTATCACCATAATCCAGTTGTAGAACACCTCTACCATGCAGCTATGCTGTTTTATGTGTAAGGCATCATACATAGAATTATCTGGAAAGTACCACTGTTAGAGAAAAAGAGGAGATACTGGTGCCAAGGATTGCTGCAGCATGTATCGCCCCTCTTTTCATCCCCAGAGCCTGATACAGAGCTCCCTCTCAGTGTTTCTTAATGATCTCCAAGTGACCACTACAAAGTCGAGGAACACTTGGAGGGGCCACAAGGAGGAGGAGGAGGAGAGGACTGTGGGCCAGAAGGCAGGATACTTGGGACTAGGTTGGATTTCCAGCTGGGCCTTCCCAAGCACATGACCTGAGACAATCACACTATAGCTCTGTATGACCTCAGTGTCCTCAGGTGTAAAATCAGGGGCCAGCCAAGGAGGGGTGATAAGAGGGTCTAGTTAACTTCAACAGGACACTCAGCAAATTTCAATGCATTTCAGAGCTCAAATATAAAGCAACTAAAACAGAGCTGTTCTGGTTGGGGAGTAGGGCTGTCCTATCTCCCACCCAGGTCCCCAAAGACATGTCAGTGAAGCTCTGGGGGCTCCAAGGAGCACACTGGGCTAGACCTGAGTTCCTGGCAGCTCTGACTTTAAGCTGTGACTTTTCATGACTCTAATCACAGGCACTATCACCCAGAACTCCTGACCAAATCCAGCAACCATTAGCTCCACACACTTTATTACGATATACTTTAAAATAGGAATTTATTTTTACTGATGAGGCATTTGAGCCTGAATTCAGTAGTATTAGAAAATAAAAAGATTTCTGGATAAAGAAAATGTGGTACATATATACCATGGAATACTATGCAGTCATAAAAAGGAATGAGATCGTGTCCTTTGCAGGGACATGGATAAAGCTGGAAGCCATCATCCTCAGCAGACTGACACAGGGACAGAAACCCAAGCACCTCATGTTCTCACTCATAAGTGGGAGTTGAACATAAAGAACGCATGGGCACAGAGAGGGGGAACAACATATACCAGGGCCTGTGGGGAGGCAGGGGGTGAAGGAAGGAAATTTAGAGGATGGGTCAATAGGTGTAGCAAACCACCATGGCACACATATACCTGTGTAACAAATCTGCACATTCAGCACATGTATCCCCCCCACACCATTTTTAAGAAGAAATAAAGAAAAAAATAGTATGTTGCTTTGGATGTATCAATAGCTTTAAGATACTCAAAACTGTTATCTGCAAAAAAATTAACTCTGAGTCTGTGATTTCAGTGTTAAAGTATATGGAACAAAGATGTTCCTGACTTCCACTTAAATATTTATTGAGCTACTACCATAAAAAGATATTGCCAATTTGGGGGACTGTGATATACAAGTAAGCCCAACCACCCCCTCCCGTCCCTGCATGGAAGTGACTACCTAATTCCTAGAGAAAGGCAAGGGCAGGATAATGGCAGGAAGAAAAGACAAACCCATGTGTACACAAAAACTCACAATGATAGCATATTGTTATGATTCAGAGAGAGGCAAGATTACATTCAGGAGAGAGTTCTCAAAAGAGCAAGCATTTGATATAGCTTAAAAGAAGGGTGTAATTCCAGGTCCTTTGGACATGGGAAGATTATAAATTTTAAATGAGTATTGGACAGAGTTGGAGAAGAAGGGAATGAAATTAATTTTGGGAGGCAGGCATTTTCCATCCATTCATCAATTGGATGGATTTAATTAGAGTTAAAACAGGAATGAATAGACACACACATACACACACACAGAAATAAAGCACAATGTATCCAGCAATTTGAGATGATTTTGTCTTTTTTATTTAGAAAGGTTAAAAATGACTAATGAATTAGCATAAGACTGAAATTCTTAATCAGTTAAGTCTTTTTTTTTTGTCTTAGAATCCTTTAAGAACCTGATAAAAAGCAATGACTCTTTCCAGAAAAAAAAAAAAAAAACCCACAACACAACAAACTATACACACCCACAACACAACAAACCATACACACACACACTCAAATGTCCGGAGAAAATGTGTACAATATCAGAAGGTTTGAGGACCCCAAAGCTGTTAGTTACCTAGTTCCCACATCAAGAGCCCTTGTACCAATTACTGTCTTTCAAATTTTAAGAAGTTCACGCTATTAAAATCACCAAGAAGTCCAGTCATGATTCACACCCTCCCCAAAAAACATTATTTCAATCTCTAAACTTTTAGAAATTTACATAATATTAAAAACAGACTGTTAATGGAATTGAACTCACATGCCCACAGCACATGACTGCCTGCAGCTAGTTTTATAATCTATTCAACAAAAAACAAACCAACTTCAAACAAACAAGCAAAAATTCTCAGCTTAAAAAAAAATAAAAGCAGAACCAACAGAATAAACATATCAGAAAGCTGAACATATACACAGAAGGAAATAACATTAAATCCAGGACAACTCTCTGGGCTTAGTTTTAGGGTATAAAGATCAAAACCCCATGTGTCATGTGCAGATCCTGATAGGAAGGTTTCCCAAGCTTTAAACAGCATTTGGAAAGTACAAGGTCACACCCAGAACTGGAATTTTCCTTTCCCTTGGGATACTTCAACAAAAGTATCAGGCTCAAGGATACCAACATCATAATCAAAAATTCTCTTGTTCAACTGACAAATCTTATCTCAGACACTACTGGTTGGTAATCCCTCATTCAGAACACCTGGGGACA